GTCTCAATTGTTGACTGTGACCCCCTGTACAGGTGTTGGTGGGAGAATAGATAGTGAGGCTCTCATGGGTGTCTAAACTGAAAGGACATCAACCAAGAGCATCAAAGCTGTCAGAGCAGTGGAAAGAGCAGCTAACTTCTTGCTCCGCTAAGGTACTGTGATTGCATGGTGAAGGAGTAAAGTGAACAGAATTTCTTAGCAACTCAGGAATTTGTGTTTCATGTAATTTAACATCATTTATTTGTCCAATGTTTATGAAGGATAAAATTTATTTCAAAGCTTGTTGTCATGTCAACTCCATGATTGCGTGCTGCCTGTTCAATGGCCTTCAGCATTGAGGAAAATGGTAAGACAAGAGTAGAAGAGCATAAGAGGGGGAAAGCCGGTGACCAGCGGCACAAAACGGGGATGCCAGTGGCCCATTGCGGAATGTGGCAGGAGCCAATGGTCAGACCACGTGGATGTCCCCTGCGCTGGTCTGCTGCAGAGAAACTTTGGAGAGAGACTGTGATGTTTGTCTTTTTAACTTTGCTTCCTGTTCTTCTGACCCATACATCGTATAGCTGCAATGTAACTTTTTTTTTGCTTCATTTCTCTATTCTGTAACTAAGGATTGTACCTGGGTACTTTTGTACCTATGATGGCGCTGTAAGTAGTGACTTATAAACTTTTCACTGCAATCATTTGAGTACATGTAACAATAAAGTCAACTCAATTCAACAAACAGAAAGATTTTTTTTTTACACAGAATGGTTCGTGCGTGGAATGAACTTCCAGAAGAAGTGGTGGATATGGGTACAGTATGACATTTAAAAGACATTTAGATAAGTACACAGATAAGAAATGTTTGTAAGTATATGGGCCATGCACAGGCAGGTGGGACTAGTTTAGTTTGGGATCATGGACGGCATGGACTGGTTGGACCACAGGATCCGTTTCCATGCTGTGTGATTCGATGACTATAGCTAAGGCTGTTCAGCCTCTCCAGTCTGCCCTGCCATTCAGTAGGATCACGGCTGATCAAACACTCCTCACATCCACTTTATGACCCTTTCCCCATAACCCTTGATTCCCCTACTGATCAAGAATCTATCTATCTCAGTGTTAATTATACACAAGAACTTCCCCCCACAGCTCTCTGTGGGAAGGAGTTCGAAAGACTCTTAACCCCATGACAGAAGAAATACCTCCTCATCTCAGTCTTTGGTTGGTGCTCCTTCATTCTGGCACTATGCCCTCTGGTTGTAGTCTGTCCCACAAGGGGAAATATTTGCTGAGCATTTACCCTGTCAAGCCCCTTAAGAATCCTATTTGTTTCAATGAGAATGGTATTGAATGGCACAGCAGGCTCAAAGGCCTGAACAACCCACTCCTTTTCTATTTCTTACGGTCTTCGACTCTTGTCTTGGCATTTACTTCTCTTGGTGGAGATGGCCTTTGCCTGGCATTTGTGTGGCGTGAATGTTGTTTGTCACTTTTCAGCCCAAGCCTGGATATTATCCAGATTATGCAGCATTTGGTCAGGGATTTCTTTAGTGAGGAATTGTAAATGGAGCTGAATATTGCGCAGCCATCAGCAAACATCCCCACTTCTGACCTTATGATGATAGGAGGGTCACTGCTGAAGCGGTTGAAGATGGTTGGGCCTAGGACACTACCCTGAGGGTCTCCTGCAGAGAAATTCTGGATCTAAGATGACTGACTTCCAGCAATCACAACCACCTTCCTATGTGCCAGGTATGACACTAATCAGCGGACACTTTTCCCCAGTTCCCACTGACCCCAGTTTTGCTTGGGGTCCTTGATGCCACACTAGGTCAAATGAGGCCTTGATGTCAAGGGAAATCACTTTCACCTCTGTTTTTCAGCTCTTATGTCCATGTTTGAACTGAGTGCCCCTGATATAACCAAGACTGGATTATAATGAGCACAGGTTATTGATAAGCAAATGCTGCTTGATGGCACAGTTGACGACACTTTCCATCATTTTAGTGATGATCGAGAGGATACTGATGGGGCAATAATTGGCCAGATTGGATGCATCTTACTTTATGTGTACAGGATATATTTGAGCAATTTTCCACATTAATCGGGCAGATGCCAGTGTTGGAGCCATGCGGGAAGAGCTTGGTTAGGTTTGCAACAAGTGCTGCAGCAGAAGTCTTCAGTTCTATTGCCAGAACATTATCAGGGCCCATAGCCCTCTCAGCATCCAGTGCTTCCAACCTTTTCTTGATATCACCTGGAATGAACAGAATTGGTTGAAGACTGACATGTGTGATGCTAGGGACGTCTGGAGGAGGCTGGGATGGGTTATGCACTCAATACATCTGACTGAAGATTGTTGTGAATGCTTCAGCCCTGTGGGGCTCCCATACCGTTGAGGATGGGGATATTTGTGGGGCCACCCCCTCCAGTGAGTTACTTGTCCACGACCATTCAACAACCAGAGCTTAGGTTGGGTCCTTCTCTGTAGGATTGGTCATATCACCTTGCACCCTGGGAATTTCAGGCCTCTCTGCTGCTCTATATTGCACAAGGCACAACATACTATGATCATTCTGTATGTGCTTGCTGTGCATATGGACATTCCCAGATGGCTTTATTACCATGTACTTCTACCTCTTAACAGTGCTATCACAGAGGTGCTTTATTTGCACCCAGTAAAATGGTGCAACATGTGCAATTCTACTATGCAACTCAGAAGGTACTGTTTAAATATTTTGTATTCTCCTTCTGATCTTGGTAAAGCTGCGCCAAGAAGCGTCCAATCATACCTGCATTTTGTCTGCTGGAATAATGTGTAGAAAGAATGGGTGAAAAATGTGCACAATATCTCTGATTTTCTGAAAAAAAATTGTAATTTGGGTAGAATTCAAAATTCATCCCTGTATGTTGCATTTTCTCTACACTTTCCTATAGTGTAGTGGTGAACGTTTTACAGAACACCCCAGATTTTATGTAGAATATCATCCTCACATTTGATATATATTATATACATCCATTAACGCATTTTCTCTTTCATGCCCATGCAGTGGGATAATGATTTAACTGTTTGTTACAAAAAAACTGTTAAATTCCTTCCTGAATATTACTTCTCTTTTCTATTCACTTAATTTGGATTTGTAACCCACTCTCCCCTCTCAAATTTTATTAGTTTGACCTGCACTATTACAGGAGTAAAGAGAGCTAGGAGTTGTTGGTTGGTTCGCCAAGCTGACTGGTTTTCATGCAAACATTTCGTCTCCCTTCTAGGTCACATAGTCACTGCTGTGTAGCCTCCGTTGAAGCGCTGTTGTTCTGTCCCGCTCTGAATTTATATGGTCCGATCTGTCATGGTAGGTAGTCTTGTTTCCGGTTTTGTACCGTACTGGTATGTAGATGAGGTCTATTTCAACATGTTTGTTAATTGCATTGGTGGTTGAAAACCAGTCCATCAGGAATTCTCGTGCTTGTCTTTGTCCTAGTACTGTAACTTTGCCCCAGTCAAACTGATGTCATCCTACGTTGGAGTGTATTGAAATGAGGGAGAATTGGTTGTGCTGTTTTGCATGTGATATATAAAACATGATTAATAAAATATCATGCAGCAGCTGCGAGAAATATTATATGGCACAGATAGGCAGGAAACTCGCCACCAGGATACATGAACGCCAACTTGCAGCAAAACGGCACGACCAAATCTCCCTCATTTCAATACACTCCAATATAGGAGGATATCAATTTGACTGGGGCAAAGTTACAGTACTAGGACAAGCGAGACAAAGACAAACACGAGAACTCTTGGAGGCCTGGTTTTCAACCACTGATACAATTAACAAACGTGTTGAAACAGATCTCATCTACATACAACTACAGTACAAAACTGGAATCAAGACTGCCCACCATGACAGACTAAACCATGTAAATTCAGAGCGGGACAGAACAACAGCGCTTCAACGGAGGCTATACACAGCACTGACGATGTCACCTAGAAGGGAGACAAAACGTTTGCATGAAAACCACTCAACTCAGCAAACCAACCAATAACTCCAACCGCAACCTGAGCTACAGATCTTCGCTAAAACATTAAACAGAGCTAATGCAGTAAAATAAAAATCACAGGAGAGCTTTAATAGACAAAATGTTCTCACTCGTTTGTTATGAGAACATTTTGAATCAGAATTAATAAGTTAGCATGACCGATTTATTGGCCTAATGTTCCAGCTATTGACACCCATGATCAGAAAACCTTTAGCATCATAATCGGGGCAAGTTAATTTACCCATCCAACTGTCCACTCAAGAGCTCACAGTGAGTGACATTGTGAACAAAAGGACAGAAGCTTCCGATCTCCTGAGTGGAAAGCTTTGTGATATTTGATTGCAAAATCTTTGAGGATGAGGGGCAGGTGAAATAAAAGATCGTTCCCCAGCAGCAGACACTTGCTGAATGGATGCCATGAATGGTATACTCCTGATTCTGGAGATATTAGCAGTCTGTTGGCAGTCTCCAGCAGTGTGTGGCCCACCACATGACAACCATTGATTTAATGGAGATTTCCCCCTTGCGACATTCCAGTAGAATAAGATTGGAACCAACGACTCCAACATAGACCCTGCAGCCAAATTGAGCCAGGCACAGTGGTTTCCCCACCAACAAGCCACATGCCTGCTGAATCAGCCTGAAATTCTATTTTAAACTTCCTCGCATTAAGGTGTTGAGGTGTTTTTTCAATCTCCGATCTGCTTCAGAACTACACTCCCTGAGGAAGGCTGCAAAGTTTCCCAAGCTGCGGACCCTCTGATTTGGCCTGCAACAAATAACCAGCCATTCCTAAAACAGACACAAGTTAAGAGATGGACAGCTCCATGTCTCGCTGCAATGCTAGTGTGCAGGTTCAGTTCAGACTGCCATTTTGTCCTGAGATGTCAGGCACCCAACACACACGGAAAAATGCTGTCCAAATCCACAGAAAAATATACTAACGTGATCTTAAAACAAAAAGGGTACACTGTGCCTGCAGTTCATTCATTTTTTAATTTATATAAACCCATTCAGCAAATGATTATTGTATCAAGCAATAACACAATATTTAATAAACCAGAGAACATTTTAATTAAATCTGGGAATGAGCAATTGTGTTTGTCTTAATTAACTATTAAGAACTGCCTGAATAGTTTGGATATTAAATTTCTAAGATGTATACAACCTAACAGTTAAATTAATTTCAGCAATGTTAACTTCTGAAAATATATATATCCATATGAACATTCCATTACTTGTGAATAATGAAATGTTACGTTACCAGATATTGAAATCTGTCAAACAATTCTATACACAAACAACAAAGATCATTCCACTGCAAGCAAATGGAGGAATAAAACAATAAACACAATTAATCCACTTTAGTGTCTGTTAGATTGTGTCCAGTTCTTGGAAGAAACCCTTCAGCCATTTTGAAATATACTGTTCAAGGATCAATCACAAAGAGTCCATACCAGCTATAACTGGACAGATATTTGCATAATTAAGTCCTGAGGCAATGAGTGGGAGATGAGCTCTTAGTTTAGTACCACACTGCTGAAAGTGAATGCACTCTAAGTGAGTTTGCCAAGTCAACAGTAAATATTCCAGTAGTATTGTTTTAGAATTTCATTTTCAGTAATAGAGTTCTTGTGCTTTGAATTAAAGAGGAGATTGAATTGAGAAACAGGCCAGCAACAGCTGCAGTGTTTTACTTTGAGTCTTTTCAAAGCTCATTCTGCCCGTTTTCCTCTGTAGTTTTAAACATGAGGATGGAATTGTAGATTTTCAGAGCTGGTCCCAGTTTAATGCTCATTATCTTCACAATGTCTGTCTGCGTCAGTAGTAGAAGTGCTTCTCCATCAATTTGCTAAAAGAAAAATTTTATATGTATTAATTTATAATCAAACATACTATGTAACATCAATAGTTGTTAATCGTGCTTTGGGCAATACAATTCAAAACAACAATGCTCTAAACAGTCAGCATCTGAAAAACAAAAATCTAAGAACCATACATTTATATACTGCAGTTTCTTCATCGTACTGAGTCAACTTCAAGTGTAACTTTCTTTCACACGATGTGGCCATCACTGGCAACGCCAACACGTCTGTCCCTAATTGACCACGAACTGAAAAGCTCGCTATGCCATTTTCAAAAGCAGATTTCCCCCTTAAATGGACATTAAGATAATCAACAATAGCTTCATTATCTATCTATTAGCTGAGATTAGCTTTGAAATCTTTATTTATTAACTGGATTTAAATTTCACCAGCTGCTGCACTGGTGGGATTTGAATCTGTGATCCTACAGCATTAATCAGAAATTGGAAAAACTCAGCAAGTCTTGCAGCATCTGTGGGCAGAAAACAGAGCTAACATTTCCGGTCCAGTGACCCTTCTTCAGAACACATTGTAACTAGGGAAAGGATGATATATATCCTGAAGATGGGATGGGAGTGGGGGCAATGGGGTTAAATAAAAGATATGTGGAGATAGAACCTAGGGAGAGAGAAACACAGCTGGGCAGGCAAAGGAATGGACAAAGGTCAGCCGGGAGAATCGATAGTTGCTAATCGGGACTATTGGTAGCTAGCAATGGGTTATTTGTGGTAGTAGCCCATGTGATGACAACGCCTGATGTGTGGGGGTTGGGGTAATCGCATGGGAGAAGGTGCTCAGGCCCTAAAATTATTGAACTCGATATGGAGTCATGAAGGCGGCAGTTTCCAAGTGGAAAATGAGATGCCATTCTTTTAGCTTGCTCCGGGCTTCACTGGAACACTACAGCAAGCCTAAGAAAGATGTTGGCCAGGGAACACAGTAGCATGTTGAAGTGGCAGGTACCTGGAAGCTCAGTGTCATTTCTGCGAATAGAACAGAGTCTAGGCTTCATCTCCCCAACGTAGAGTAGATCACATTGTGAGCAGCGAATACAATGAACTAGATTGAGTGAAGTGCAGGTAAAGCACTGCTTCACCTAGAAGGCATGTCTATGACCTTGAATGGTGAAGGAATAGTAAGCGGCCAGGTGTTTCACCTTCTGCAGTGGCATGGAAAGATACCGTGGGAATGTGCTGTGACTGGAGTAGGAGTGAGCCAAGTTATCCTGGAGGGAATGGCTCCTGCAGAAGGCTGACAAGGGAGGGGAAGGGAATGCATCATCCGCTGGAGATGGCAGAAATGGTCCTCTAGATATGGATGGTGGTGGGATGGCAGGTGAGGACCAGGGGGATCTTATCACTGTTGCAGGGAGGAAGAGAAGGGTTGAGAGCTGAAGTATGGGAGATGGATGGCTCATAGCTGACAGTCCTGTCAATAACAATGGTAGGGAGTTGTCCATTGAGGAAGGAGGCACACATTGCGGAAGCTCCCTTTGTAGAAGCTGGCATCATCAGAACAGACACAGCAGAGATGGAAAAACTGGGAGAATGGAATCGAGTCTTTACAGGAAGCAGGGTGTGAAGATGTATATTCTAGGTAACTGTAGGAGTCAGTGGGTTTGTAGTGGATATTGGTAGCTAGACTATCTCTAGAAATGGAAACAGATGTCAAGGAAGGGATGCGAGGAGTCAGAGATGGGTTAGGTGAAGATGAGAACAGGGTGGAAATTGGAAGCGAAATTAATAAACTTTTCCAATTCCAGATGAGAGGGGGAAGCAACACCGATGATGTCATCGATGCACCAGAAAAAGAGTTGTGGGTGGGGTCCCCTGGTGGGATTGGCATAAGGAATGTTCCACATAACCCACAAAGAGACAGGCATAACTGGAGCCCATGCAGGTATTCATGGCCATCCCTTTCATATGAAGAAAGTGGCAGGAGTAAAAAGAGAAGTAGTTCAGGGTGAGGACGAGCTCGGCCAGGTGGAGGAGGCTGGTGGTGGGTAGGAATGGTTCAGGCCTTCTTTCCGGGAAGAAATGGAGAGCCCCAAGACTGTGCTGATGAGAAACAGGTGTGTAAAGGGATTGCACATCCATGGCAAAGAGGTGATGGCTGGAGCTCTCAAACTGGAAATTCTGGAAGTGACATAAAGAGTCAGAAGAATCGTAGACGTAAGTGAGAAGGAACCAGACAAGGGGGAAAAAAAGAAATCAAAAGTCGAAGCAGGAAGAGCTGAGTTCTGTGGGGCAGAAACAATGGGTCTGCCTGGGCAGTTCTGTTTGTGGATTTTGGGAAGGAGGTTGAAGCGGGCTATGTGGGGTTGGAAGACAATAAGCTTGGAGGCAGTTGGGGAGTATGGAGGAGATCACCGGATGAAATGAGATTATTGACAGTGGTGGGCTGGAAGAGTCATGGTCCAGAGAACATAGTAGGTGTCAGAGAGCTGGTGCTCAGCTTCTGCAATGTAGAGGTCAATCTGCCAGATAACAACAGCACCACCTTATCAGCAGGCTTGATTACAAAGTCAGGGTTGCTTCTGAGAGCATGGAGTGCAGTCAATTCAGAGGGAAATAGCTTTGAACGGGTAAGGGGGGACAGAGAGATTGAAGTGACCAACGTCATGTCAACAGTTCTCAATGAACAGCTTGAGTGCAGGTAAAAGGCCAAAGGAAGAGGTCCCCCTCTGCCCTTTTACCTGTACTTGACCTATTCGTTGGGTGAAGAGTGTTGGAGCTGGATGATGGGATCTGTGGGATGGAGAGAAGGCTCTTGTACAAAGAAACAGACATCGAATAAAAGCAATGAAAGAAGAATTCAAATGTCATGTCATGCCCAAAATTCACAAGGGAGGATAAAACTGACATTTGTTGAGTACAGAATGTTCAGAGAGCAGAAGGTCAGAAAGGATAGTAAACCCTGACTGGAGATGGGGTTAGTTGGTGATGCCACCACCAGACACCTATCCCCCTCCCCTCCCTTATCAGCCTTTCCCCAGGGACCGTTCCCTCCAGAACACCCCATCCTCCCATCCTCACCCCTTACATCTTCACGGCACCTTCCCCTGCAATTGCAGGTGTAACATCTGTGCGTTTACTTCCTCCACCTGCTCAATCCAAAGCTCCAGACATACCTTCCAGGTGAAGCAGCGCTTTACCTGCACCTCACTCAATCTAATCTACTGCACTCACTGCTCACAATGTGGTCTCCTCTACACTGGGGAGATGAAACACAGGCTGGGTTAGGGTTAGAACTGCTTTTATTTTTATGCTCCGTCTGCAAAAATGACCCTGAGCTTCCTATTGCCTGCCACTTCAATACACCATGTTCCCTGGCCAACAAATCTGTCTTGGGTTTGCTGCAGTGCAAGCTGGAGGGATAGCATCTCATTTTCCACTTGCGACCCTATAGCCTTCAGGACTCTATATAGAGTTCAACAATTTTAAGGACTGAGCATGTTCTCCCATGTTCTACCCCAACCCTCACACACCACATTGTATCACATGGGCTGCTACCATAAACAACCCATTATCAGCCACTAATGGTCCTCATTAGCAGCTACTGATTCTCCCAGGCTGACCTTTACCCATTGCTTTGTCTACCCAATTGTTGTTCTCTCTCTCTCTCTAGGCTCCATCTCCACCGATCATTTACTTCTCCCCTTCTCCCCCACCCAAGCTTTAGCATATATACCAACTTTTTCCTGGCTACCATTAGTTCTGAAGAAGGGTCACTAGACCTGAAACATTAACTCTGCTTTCTCTCCACAGATGCTGCCAGACCTGCTGAGGTTTTTCAGCTGTTTCTGATTTCCAGCATCTGCAGTTCTTAGTTTCTTTTCCCCTATAACATTAGCCTGGCACCTCTGGATTACTGGTCCGGTGACATTACCATTATGCAACTGCTTCTCCATTATGGCTTGCAGTCTGCATGTTCATACGTTAGAACTTGCACATTACGGCACTGCACCTTCGCACCTACTAATGTCCAAATTACACTTCAATAATGCATTTCCTGACATTATATTATCAAGCCTATTTATTAGATTCATATCCTCATGTGTAACTTACTTAGCAGGAAAGCCAGATAATTATTCTTTGACAAAAATAGAGAAGAAAATGATTGAATGTTGAACTTGCATTTTTATATATTTTCTTCCTCTCTTCAGTCCCCTGCACTATGCACATTGTACAAGCCTAGCTTTTGATTTATGTATGCTGCCAAATTACAAATACAGTTCTGAAAGTAAAAACTTACTCTAGCTTTTCTACTGTCCCTTTGGGCACTAAATTTTCACTTTGCATTTCTCTCCCATGCTCCATCTGAGAATTGAAACTCAGCACATCAAAAATGCTGCCACAACTCAATCTTTTGACCTGCAGCCAATCAGACCCGAAACATCTGATGTCCCAGCTGAGCTTCAATTCACTCAGGCCTTTCCAATCCTTCATAACTGAAGGCAAAGTACATCTCAACAAAATACACACTATAAGCCAATTAAGTGAATTTAGGAACTCAAGGGCTTATATGTCCCAATTAGAGTGAATTAACATAGTTATTTTAAGGTTCAACATGGCAATTAAAACTCTCTCAGTATTTTTCCAGTAAATTAGTTAAGGAAATGTATCACTTCAGGTTGAGCACACAAGTCCTTACTTGTGACTGCATTAAACATTATTGAAAGTTATAGTAAATTACAGTTAAAGAATCAACAATTATTCTTGCTTGGCTCTGTTCACAAAACCAAAAAGTACACGGCTCAGTTCTCAAACCTGCTTTGCCATTCAATAAGATCATGACTGATGTATGTGTTTCAAATTCTGCATTTCCATCTACTCCAATAATCCTTGATTCCCTTGTCTATAAAGAACCTATTCACCTCGGACTTAAAAATATTTGATGACCCTGCCTCCACCAGCTTCCCTAGGTGGACAGCTCCAAAGTCTCGCAACTCTCTGAAGAAAAAAAATCTCATCTCGGTCCTAAAAGG